CCTGTACATGCTCACCACTACACTCACAAGTACCCCAGGAGCACATTTTCCACAATCACATTGCTATCCAACTTGCAGAACTACAACCACAACATCAGTTTTTGGCATACTCTGGCAAAAGCAATTGCCTTCAAAAGCCCACACAATTGGCCTCACAATTATGCCGAGCCATACGCACATGGCATCGCCACTATGGACTACCTTACAACCATCAAACTACAAAGCAGTTTGTATCTGAACAAATACCACAACACAACACACACTGCAGTAACAACAACATACTACAGGTTAAGATGCTCAAGCAAGTCCAACACAAAATACCCACTGGCATCATCCATTGCGAAGATCACTTCCCGAACCGACTCACGTGGTATTGCCCTGCACTATACCACACTGCCATACACAACACTTTTTTAGACAAAGAGATCTTTCGGATCTCGCAGTGCCAACCTCTACAACACCACTTCGATGTCTACACAGACATCTGCAGTCTTCTACCAACTTACACATGGGCGTTTCCACAATGGGGCCGCATCCCACGTGCCTACATCCTACCGAAGAGAAAAAAGCAATTTGCAAAAGGACGTCCTATAGTGGCGTTCATCGACACCATGGGCCGAAAATTATGGGAAGCCTTAGCAGACGTTCTGCAGCTGATGACACTTCAAGCATGCCCAAACTCCTTTCATCAAGGAGACGGGATAACACAGCTCAAGCAAACAGCACTCTTCTTGCATCAACGTAGGAAATTACAAGATTCAACAGATTACATCCTGTACAATCAGGATTTGGCTGGCTTCTTTACATCGGTCGATCAGAGCCGGTTTCTTTCAGCATACAGCATCATGGTTCGATGGTACAGAGAGAAGAACCCACTGCACTCTTCCAAATTCTTCATTGACCACTCACAAAAGGACCCCACACACCGAGTCCACAGGGGCAAAAGCAGACAAAAGCAGCAAGAAGCCTCTTCCGGCAACAAACTTTGCATACAATTACAACATATACCACAACTCATCATTGCAGTGCTCCGACTCAACTATTTCACTGTTGGTACATCACTTATTGAGCAATTTCGCGGTGCACCTATGGGCTCGCCCTGCAGCCCGGCCCTATGCAACATCGTGGTTGCCGTCGAAGAACAGTGTTGGCACCACACATACAAACAACTTTTCAAGAACCACAAGCATTTTCCAGACCACAACAAGCAGGATCAAGCTTTCTTTTTTGCTACCAGATACGTCGACAACCGCGTCCTTCTTTTACCTGCACAGCTGACCCGACTGCCTCCTTTTGCACAGCTTACTGACGCATCTTTCTACAAGCCACCGGTTCAGCTTGAAACTGAACCGGCCAACATTTTCCTGGGTTTCGCCATAAACCCTCAGCACAGCAGCCTTACGCATCAATGCACTTTGCACAAGGCGGATATTTTACACCCACAGTCAGCCACCTCTGTTGCAATACTTCGCAGCAGTTTTCAGGCCCGCACACGCATGGTACGCAGAGTGACAACACCATGCAGCGAGGCCACATCAGCCATTCGAGCCATGCGCGATCTCTACATCGCTGCCGGCTATACTGATCAACAGCTGTAAGCAAAACACTGTGCCAAGTTGCCGTGCGTGTGTCCAGAGTCATGCAACTTCGCAACATGAGAGCCGCGTTGTATCAACACAGTGCTTCCCGCAGCCATTTACAGTGTTAACTGAGGCATCATCATGTATAAAAGTGCCATGACTGGCAGATTGCAGCCGAGCCACAAAGCGCTGAGCGGCCGTCCTCGGCCATCCATCTCCAAGCATAGCAGACGCCGCAACGAGCAACCTGCGGTTGGCAGCCACAATCCACAGCCGGCGCTTTTGCGCTCTCAGTTCCTACGTGTTGCAGAAGACGAAGATTTCCAAGATTACCAAGAGCAACACCAAGATCCGGAAGAACAGCAGGACGCAGCAGTGGCTGCACCGGCGACCCCGCCATTTCCACCTCCGCATCACCCTGATCCGGATTCATCGACTGAGATTATGGCAGCAATAACGCAGTTTCACAATTCGTTGCTTGAATCGAATGCCAAACTCGAGCGCCTGATACAACAGGCTACAACGGTGTTGACTACTCAACACGAGGCTACCACGGCGATCCTCGCCTCGTGCAAACAGCAGCTCGACGTACTCGAAAGCCTCATCAGGCAAAACGCGCCTGATTGGTCGTGAATATGCTGATAAGGTACGCTGGTATAAAAAGAGCCAGGTAGTGCACATTTCTCGCATTTCAACACATGTTGCTTTCAGACACACACCATAACTTTGCCTTCTGAAGTTTTGCCTCAGAGTGACACCTATCGGAATCCCGACATCGAGCCATGAGCGAAGCATCTCTTCCGACCAACACAGTGACTACAGATTCGCCACCCGTCGATGAGTCACGACGTGAAGCTCTCTCCGAGGCCCTCATGGAGATTTTGACACAGCATCGGGACTATGATTCCGAAACTGGAAGTGAACCTTCCACATTCAGTGACGAGGCTCTACGCGACCAATTAGCTGAGTTTATTCTGCAAACAACCCGGCAGATCACAGAGCTAAAGCAACGAGTGGAAAGACTCGAAGCTTCGCAACAATAGGTGATCAACCATGTTCATACCACCATCGGGTGCTTTGCAGAGGACGGTAAAAACAACGATTGTCGTTGTTGCCAATTGTGACAGTCAGTGCACTCACTTCACATATGTTTGGCATGCAGCGATTGATGCACTCTTTCCCGCAGCATTTTGCAAAACAACCAGTTGTGTTAGCACCATGGAACAACGCACCAGATCGCGATCTCCCACGGCATCACAATGGAGATGGCATTGGGCCACTAACGGCTCTTCATGGTGGCGGGAGTACTTTATCGCATCTCAAGAGTGGATACGAAAGCATGCGGAGCAACCTGATCAGCGTCCGACATCAACGCCTCCGACCCAAAAGGAGACAGTATCTACTACATCAACTCCTACATCCAACAAGAGAAAGCGGTCAAGAACTCCGTGAGCAACATTGCTGAGTTGACAATTAGATGCACATTTGCTGCCCCTGGCAGCCAACAACCACACAGCAAAGCTGTGCTGCGAACTCCATCATCCCTGATGAGGTTCAACATTAAGAGCATCATGTTGAAAGGTCATGCCGGTCGGCGAGGTTGCTCAATTGATGTCTCTGTGTACATCTCTCTCTCTCTTCTGAAGATCAGCGTATGCACATGCCTCAATGCAGTTGTGACTCCGCAGCCATTTCTCAGAACTACAGTTGTTGAAACATATTTAGGATCGCACACAGATGGACGAGGACGACGACAGCAGCCTATGGGGATCCGAAGAGATTGATGCCTTCCTGAGGAAGGATGACACCACCACATCCTCCCATGCAGTCAGTCACACACACAAGCAAAAAACAAAGCACACAACGAAGACAAAAAAGAAGAAAGACAACAAAGACAAAAAGGACAAAACAGTCATGAAAACAAAGCAAACACGTAACATCTCACCAGCATCCCAATCCACAACACAGCAACGACGTCAACATCCACATACTACAAGACGAAAGAGGACACGCTCTTCGCATTCAACATCATCAGCGTCACCTACGGCAACGTCACACATGGCTGAGGACGCACACCGATCTCCATCGCGAGATCCTTGGTCTTCTGACTCGATTGCACCTTACGATATTGTGCATCCTACTATTCAGCACAAGCGGTCCAAAACCGCTTGTGCAAAAATGCTGGTACGTGCAGGTTTTAGGTGTAGATGCCATTTCAAGATCATGAGTGACTGTCCCAACAAACTCGCTGTTGGATCCTAATACTCAGGACGGATTAGGGCTGCAAGATCCGCTAAGCGTGACAAAAAGCCTGCGCATGCGAGTGTCAGCACGACACCACTTTGTTGTTTCGCCTGAGCACACAGCATGTCCACGTTGATTTGCATTCCTTGTTCAAGCGTTTGTCGGTTGGTAGCAGCAAAAATATGACAAAGCGAAAGGCTGCTGAGGCCGGCCTTCCATGGTACTCCATGGCAGGACAATGTTTTCGGATGACTGTTGAAATTCCACCCGACCGCATCACCAGAGACAAGCACATGTTCTTACACGTGGTACTTTGTCTGGGTGACAACGTTCTACAAGCTCGCAAGATCTTCTCCTACCGCATCAAGGAGATCACCGGCAGAACTCCTAAAATCCCAGCTTTCTTCTTCGAACAAAACCGTCGACGACTACATGATTGGGATTCAGTCACCACATTAGCCACGTTGAAGCCGGTGCTTTTTGTTAGAACCTGTTCGGATCAGGAAATACGACAATCACCTGATCGCTAGTGACAGCGAGAAAAGTGCGCCATTCACTTCTTTTGCCACGCATCAGACATTTCACTCTACTTGAAGCATGTACGCCCCATTGGGGCTGTGTGTGTGTGAACCTCCCTAGCACATGGGAGCAGAGGGTCACTCCTACACTGTTTGCATTTTTTGCTTTTCAACTTAATCAGACATTGGACATTTACCAAATCAACTGTTGCAGGGGAGTGTGGCACTTGCGTCCTACCACACTCAACGAAGCTGTGGATGCAAGTGGGAAGCGGGACCTGATCAGTCCTGTGTACCTGCACAAAATTGAGCTGGGGCCCCTGTGCCAGCCCGATTAGAAGGCCCCTGTGCCAAGATTAGAGAGTTTTCAGTTGCCACTTTTTGGCGGTTGATTCGACAACAAACAAGTTGTACGGTTGCCACAATCTGACAAGCTTTTGCAACATGAACAACATGCCTCTCTTTTTCCTCTTGCACTCGTACTCTTGGCCGAATCCATCAGTGTCTGCGTGTATGTGCATGCGCGGATCCGATCCACTCAAAGTCACTGTCTCCAATTTGTTGTAGGTCCCTTTTGTAGAATCGCCACTATGAGGTCTATGAAGTGCTTGGTGAGAGTTGTGACATGATGTGACATGAGACGAGAGAAAGTATTGAGGTAGTGGTCGTTGACCAGCAGCTTGCCATCGTTGGAGGACCATCAATCCATTGAGTGCCAGGGGTGATTCAGAAAGTTTGCTTTTTAAGCCCGAAGCACGGTGCGTCAGAGGATCAGGCAAAGCGTCATCCATTGCCGTTTTGTTGTTTCACTTTCGCCGAAAACCGGCTTCCACGTTTGGTATGTTTGGGCAAACCTGTGGCCCGAATCTGGAATTCAAGTTCAGGACATTGTGATAGTATGAGAATTGTGAACCGTTTTAACCAACAAACCTAAATGTCGAATTCGGGTTTCATCTGAGCAAGCCTTTGGCCCGAACCAGGGTTTCACCCGAAAGTGGGTGTCAAGCTTGGTATACTTCGGCTATCAGCAAACCTTGCTAACCGAATCTGGGTTTCGTGGCCTGAACGGAAGTTTTGTTTTGTCATGTCTTGGTTTGCACAAGTCGTTTGCCCGAATCTGGGGTTGACGATTGGCAGGTTCTGCGTTGGCTCTAAAAAGGTTTTTGCACGAATGAGGTTTTTAATCTTGTCCTGTTTGGGCTCTCAAAAAGTTGTTTCCTGACTCTGCGTTGCAACTTTGGCGTGTCAAAGCTGTGCCCGAAAATGGATTTCAAGCTGCATGTTGGGGCTCCGAACCAGCCGTCGGCAAAAGAGAGCGTTCCATAGGAAGCTCCAAGCTGGAGGTAAAAACCACCCGAGCCAGGATGAGTAAGCCGTAAGTTCGTCAGAGTTCATCCGCTCATGTGTTAAAATGGTCATCATAAAATCATAGAATGATAAAGCCAAGCCCGCGATCGGTTGCACCCCTCGTCAAAGGCGCATCCATGCCTTTGAGGAATGATCTCACATTGGAACCAGGAAACGTCCGACTGATTTGGGAGGTCAAGGTTGGTGAGCCAGCCGCTTGCACATGCATTCCCATCGTCGGAGTCATAGCATCAGTAAGTTTCGCCGGCCGGGTCACCGTCTTGCCTTCTTTCAGATCCTCCAAATGCGAACCACCAGTTCGTGTTTGTCCTTGGCTCTACGAACGAATGGCACCTTGCACATTCAATCACCTAGGCCTAGGCCATTGCTTGAGACCGATATGCTGTGAAACCCACCGTCAGTATGCCGTCAGTTTGAAGTCTTGTTAGGAACCGACCAAAAAAGCACGCAAACTTGAATCCCACTTTCGGCCGAAAGGTTTTTGTTCAGAGCTCAAACATGTCAAGCTTGTAAGCCACGCACGCCGAGAGCCTTGTGGAAAGCCAAGACATGCCAAATGTCAAACCGCATGCGTGCTCCTTGTCGATTTGCGAGGATGTCACAATTTTACATGTTTTGGCTCCGAGCTTGGCCCGAAGATGGGCTTTATGCAAACCCGGAAGACTTTCCACGCGTCCTCTCCGAGAACCGGTTGAGACCACATCAGACATCAGTTCTCCGACGTCCTTTTCATAGACCTCCCTCATTCCTCCCTCATTTCAGCCGGTTGTATTTCGAAAGTCAGTTGGAGCGCGGCTTAAGCTTTGTGCAGCTGTAAGCAGGACTGGATCTGTGCATCGGACGCTACGATGCGGGGGCCTCAGTCTGCGCTTTCATGTGTGTTGCGTGTGTTGATACATCTACCAAGTGTTTGGCTGTTGCCGTGCCTTGTTCTGGGGTGAAAGCAGACAACTGCCGCGATAGCGGGCCACCTGTGTGAGCAACGTTGGCAATTGAAGCGGGCCTTGTGGGTTTGATGACCCGGATCAATCGCCAGTGCACACTCTGAAAAAAGGCAGAGCCAGGTGGAGAAACGAAAGGCAGCCTCCTGATTTCCTGAACCTTCCTCCGGCTGTGACGACTTCGTGGAAAAGCAATTGGGAGTATAGCAGATACTGGGTCATCTGCCAGGATGCCAGCATAAGCTGCAGATTTTCATGCTACCGAAAATTCGGAAAGTCGTCGGTGCTGGGGAGATCAGGGCTTCCTGCAGGGGCATGCGGCATGCTGTCGTGCATTCTGCCTGAAGACAACTGCCGAGGATTGGAGGCATCTCATTTTTGATGCGGAAGAAGAGGTTTGGAAGAATCAGGACTACTACAATCCTCGCATCAAGGAGTCACCCTGGCAGTTGTCTAGGAAGATGTGGTGGTACGTTCCAAGCATTCTTCTCCGAACCGCGGATTCGCATCAGGATGTCACCGACGGCCGACTCCAAAAGGATCAGCTAGATCGGAAGAGGCAGGCACGGCTACCCTGGCAGGCGCCGCAGCGCAGCCAGTGTCCGGCTTACTTGTGAAACCTTCGGATGACCTTTGGCAGGATGTCGCTTGTGAGCTTATCGGCCGGCCGGCGACGCGTCCTTGGAAGGGACGGGGAGGATACAAGTGAGAGCCGTCAGAGCTTACGGCCGGCCAAAAGCCTGACCGCCTGACTGTCCGAAGCTTCTTGGACCACGTGAGGCGTGATGTTGCACGTCACTGTGTGGAGCGATGGAACCATGCCAGGCCGATTTATTCCGTAGCATAGGTCCGGTACTTGTGAGCTGTCGTCTAGACTTCACTTTGCATCCGTTGGCTTGCAGCTAGCATGCAGACATCGTCGTGAGACCCCTGTCTCAATAGCATCTTTCTCATGAACATGGTCTGAATGTATCCTTCGCACATGGTTCTTGCAGGTGCATCAACTCGCGCTTCGTCTGCAATAATCCGGTAATGGCGAGGTTACATTTGCGCTCGTGTAGTCAGCGTTTGTTGAGCTTGTGAGGAGACGCGATTGTTCGGTGACAATAAAGTCAGGGAGGAGTCGGATGGAAGATGTCTTTGCTTTTGAAGTTGATTCTGCCCCGGGGCCCAGGGCCAGGGCCAGCTCAGGTGCCAAGCCCTCCTGAGCCTGAGCCCTGCGTCTGCAGCCGAGGATGTACCACGAGCTGCCCACAGCGCTGCTCAAGCGGAAGGCGGGAGAAGAAGAGCCCGGTTGGGATTTCCATCTACTTTCAAAGGTACTAGACTCAGACTTGGTTGGCGCACCAGGTTGCCGTGAGCAACGATGACATGCTGAAGGTCCCGCACAAGGCCACTCTTGGTGCTGGAATGGTGGGTCTGCATGTTCTCGTGGGCTTGGAAGGTTAGGTTCTGTTAACGGTGCCTGAAAGTGGAGCTGGAATCTGATCGCTGGAGCTTTGTGTCCTGGAAGAAGGCGAAGTGACGGGCCAGTTGCTTACGTGCTCTTCAACCGAGGCAGCCGATCCGACATGGCCGCCGGAGAGGGGGCCCTGGCAGGCTGCAGATATCAGCTTTCTCGTACCGGGGCCATAGGCCAGAACACAGTGGCTCCCAGCTCCCAGCCAGGAATGCCGATCGCAGGCCGGGTGCTTTGTTTGCTTGAAGTGAGATTCTTTTTGACTCGAAAGTCGGGCAGCTCGATTTTGCGTCAAGCTGAGGAACCCCCCCGTCTTACGCGCTCTCTCGCCAGGTGGTGCGTTCGGTTGGCCGTTGGAGTGCCGGCACGAAAACCGAGTCCTCCTCGCATCAGGCGCACTGTCTGCTCGTGCAGTTTTGCCGCATAGCCTGTTTCCACCTCGGTTGTGAAAGCACAGACATTTGCAGTGAAAAGAAGTGCTCGCTCTACTGCGGCTTGCTGCTACTTCTATTCCTGCTTTCGAGTTCGTCTGCTGGGATGCCGACTGCCAGTGTGGAGCAAACTTGAGATGGTATTGGCGGTGGCGGAGGCAGTGGGGGCGTCGGCGGCGACGGTTGTGGTGGTGGTGCCGCTGCTGCTGCTTTTGCTGGTGCTGCTCTTGTTGAGTCTTCAAGAAGGTGCAGTGCCGAGCACAGAGATAACTCTTCGCTTCAGGCGTATTGCGACCTGATCCAGGACGACTTGCCTTTTAAACGTTGTGGCCCATCCACGTGAAAGCTACTGCGAATGCTGCAGGAGTCCAAGAGCTTCATCTACATCGAGAATCAGCCACTTGGTCGCGAGGAAACGAAATCCTAAAGCACGCAACCAGACAGTGCCGAGTGTTGACAAAAGTCTGCTTATGCATGAGCTTCCGAGACAGACTCAGGTTCTTCTGCTCTGCAATGGAGGGCGAGGACTCTATCGGCAACCGTGTGCTCGAGGCGTCGTGGAGAAGACACCTCCGTTTTGAATTGAGGGGTGCTCCGGTGCTCGGTGTGGCTTGTCATGTCACATCGGTGAAAGCCAAGAAACAGAACAAACCTAACCCCGACGACCCAGAAGCCCAAGACATAAAGTGAAAAGATCGGAAGTTGCTAAAGCTTGAAAAGCCGCCCTATACCCCAAACTCGGAATCCTGGCATGTTGTGTTTTGTGAAACTTCCTCAATGTTTCTGCGCATCCGTGCACTGGGAAACTGACTTTTGTTGCGCTTTTACCTTGATCCATCGGAATGCCGGTTGCCATCTTTTTGGTGGGAACTGCTTTCATGTTGTTCGTGTCGATGAATACCATGCCATATGCGAGGCCTTGTTTCGCCGGATCGCAGAGACCTGAGCGTGCGCTGAGCTTGCTGTCACAGGTCCGGAGACAGAGCAGCGGTCGAGCTGAGGTAAAAGCTGAAGACCAGAAAGAGGCTTTTCACTGCGTCATCATCCTGCCCCTCTTGCCGGCACTGGAGGTCTCCTGCAGATCTTCGCTTCCTGCTGCGGTCGAAGCACTTACACTCGAACTGTGGAGGCCCCACTGTGCCAGTCCAACGCCTCACAGCCTGTGTTCCGTGCACGAAGCTCAGCGAACCAGCTCGAATAGGAACATGTGGATCATGTGGCGAACAGCCTGGATTGGACAAAGATCCCGGAGCGTGATACGCACACGTGTCGCCTCGGTCACAGTCACACGCTAACTTTCTTGTGTGGCGAGGTGATGCATGCGCAGTACCAGACACTGCGGGGTCTTCGCAAAGAGCTCCGTGCTCGAGGCTGTCGCACGTGGCGGGATGCCTGCAGGATGATTTTGAGACATGCGCAGCTTGGCCAGGGGCGGACGAGGCGAAGTACATCTCCGTGTTCGGTCTGAGGTGGCTCTTCACTGTCAAGTTGCAGTTCTGTGAGACTGGTCCACCTTCTGGCATACGTTGAGAAAACGCAGGACGCATGGGTGGCTGGATGGTCTCGGCCACTCTACGGAGCAGATTTACATCCACTCCAAGGCAGCGAGATGGCTTCAGCAGTGCACTGCTATGAATACCGAAGTGTCAGTCGAGGCCATGGTGGTTGACGACGAGGTGCAGAGCCGCATAAGCCGCAGGGACACGCAAAGGGGCAGCAGGCGCATGCAGGTGCTTTCACTTTGAGCCGCAGGTAGCGATTATCGGCAGCTCCAACATCAACGATCGCTCCTTGCTTGGGATGCGAGACTCTGAGGTCAACGTCGTCATCCAGGAACGGGAACCCTGTGCTGAGATAATATGCGAAGCAGTGCCGACAAAGCAGGCAGGGTGAGGGGCAGTCAGATATTCCTGTGCAGGACACTGCGGCAGCCTACAGAGGCTAAAGCCGCGGATTCATTTGTTGGTGTTCCAGATGCGTTATTGCACCAGAGGCAAGCAATCCATTTGCATCAACAGGCGGACGAAGAAGGCACATGAGGCTCATGTGTAACATCATGGATCACCGTGTACTACGAATCCTGACGATGGGATGTTTGTGTACAGTCGGAGAAGAGGTTCCAGGATAAGGATTGATATGAGGATTGTCAAGGTTGCAGCAGCTGTGTTTGAGAGATTGGTCCAGTGGTCACGGCTCCAGAGTAAAGTCATGTCCGAAGGCTGTGCAGCTGCCGAGGGTTGGGGTTTTGCTGGAGATTCGACAACACGCGTCGCTTGAGACTGCTGTGTGTGGAGAAGCCTGGTCCTAGGTGATGTAGTAGACAAATAACCCGCAAATTCCAAGCCGCAGCAGTCAGAAACTACGAGTACAGCATCAACTTGCTTGATGGCTGTTGTGAGACGAGTGAGCTGAGAAATTAAGCGGAGAGGTCCCGGTGGCCTTCGCGGCGGCCCTGCTGCGAACCTCCGGAAGGCGCGTGGAGGGAAGTGTCGCATTGAATTGGAGGAGTCATGAGCGGCTTGCAACGATTCTGATCCAACGACTCCGCTGTCAGGCACTTTTTGCGCAGCACATGGGCTTGACGCGGGAGCAGCTGGAATCTGCGAGGGTCCCAGTATCAGTAAGAGTAGTCGGCCATTCAACGCGCGACGCCTTGCCACACAGTGGCCCAGCCCTTCCACTCAGCAGTTTGAACGGCAGACGCGGCTTGATCGCCTCTGAGGTCTACCCGGATCCCGTCAGCGAGGCCCTGTGTTCTTGGAATCTCAGAGCGGGCTGTGCACGCCGCCATGCCGCAGCGCAAGGCATCTGTGATTGAGATGCGAAGGGTAGCCCAGCATAACACAGAGATCTACGAGGACTGGGTCGGGACAGTCACAGTCTTCTCTATCCTTCTCGCTTCCCTGGTGGTGTGTGTGGGCAGGAGCTCTTCGGGGCGCTGCCCTCCGACGCCGTGGGCACCTGGGCGGAGCTTGCAGCCCGGCGCCGGCAGGCCCGGACATGTGCGGACACTTGACGAATTCGGGGATTCTGCGACAAGTGCCTTGCCCAGACGCAGCCGCACATGAATGCGGACTTCACCAGGCCGGAAGCTGTCCCTCCCGGAACATTGCTTCGAAATTCTCAGATTCTGTACTCCTCCTGGTTTGACTCGGAATTGCGATCTTCGTTTCGTTGCTCTTGCAGAACCTGGAGTCTTACATTTTATTGGTGACCCAGTACGCGCCAACCCCAAACGTGAGCCTTTGCAGGTGCCTCCTCGCGAGTGCACATAGAAGTGATTGCCTCCTTTTTTACTAGGCTCACTGTTGATTGTGGTTGGTGTGCTGCACCAATTTTATCTTGGTACGCGGGTGCTGCCAACGGCAGGCTTAGCATTCCTTCTATAGCCTGAGACTCATCATGAGACCTAGTTTGGCCTAGCCGCCTTCCCCCGGTAGTAACCCTGACCTGCTCCCAAACAACAGGCCAGAGTCGTGGTGCGGCATGGCATTTTTCTATTCTGACCGGTGCTCCATCAGGATACCCGAAGCACAGAGTGCTACAGAAGCACTCAAGCGGGTCCAGGGATACCTGGTGCAGTGCCCAGACTCCGGGCATTTCTGCGGGAGGGGCGCGGTCGGGGCGGCGCCGACAACATTGTCCTTCCTTCTGAGCTATATACGTCCTGCATGCGCTTCATGCATTTTGTTTCCTGCAGAAGGCCTTGCAACGTCCAAGAGTCTAGTCTCTGATGGCAGAAGCGTCCCAGGTCCAATTTCCGCTGGACTTCCTGGCCAAAGAGGACATGCCGGCTCATGCTTGCCAAACCGCAAACTGAAACGGTAGATGAATCTTGGTCGGTGGATCATTTCGGGCTCTGAAGATGAAGATCCGCCCATCCGATCCGCAGGACTTGGCACCCTCAGCGGTGGTTGGCCTGCTTGGTCCAGTCTTTACGTGAGGCTCTGGATGTCAGTTTCAGCTTATGAGAACTCAACCTAGACCTCCCCCCTCCCCGCTCTGCCTGCAGGTTCGGAAGCAGCACGAGTCTAGAATGAGAATGGGAGATCGATTCTGGACTGTGCCGGCTGGTGCAGAGCCAAGTCGAGCCCAAACGGGTCCCTCGATGTTTGAATTGACAGGCCCATCTTCGTAGCCAAGGGGTGAGGGTGGTGCCTGCTATTTGCAATGTGCAGCTCTCTTGCTTTCATTAGTCGATGCTTTTCATGCGGGTTCTCGTGAGCAAGTTGGCCCTGGCAAGCTTACAGTAGGTAATATTGCTCCTGTGCAGCATTCCTGATGAAAGGGCTCACGAGCACTCGGTGCCGCAAACTGCTCAACCATTTGCCACTGCTTTTCCACGGCTTTCTGTGAAGAGGCTAAAGCGGGGCTTGAAGGAGCCGCGGCAAGAAGCCTCGTTTCTGTGCCAACTGCCATGAGCCAAAGACTTTTTCTCCACATTCTGGGTGATCCAAAATTCCAAGTGAATGTGCCCCATGATCCTGTGAAGCTCATCACCCGGAATGTGGAGTTGGTCAGCCATGGCGTGCTTGGGGCAAAATGCCGAGGGTGCGGACGTGCTCGGAGCATCTTCGCGGTCGGAAACGGGACTCACATCAGTGAAGTTCAACATGCTCCTTGTACTTCGAGGCGATACAGAGGCTTCTCATTCGCAGACCATGGCACTGCACATGTTTCAAGCCCCGGGTCCTGCATGAAGGGTTTTCACGAAAACGGCGCGACCTGTTGATTCCAAAATTGGTGCTGCATATGCAGCTTAGGCTCAATGTAATGAACGTTCACGAGACTAGGCTGACTAGGCAGCTTGAAGGTTCCAGGAGAGCTCGTACTTGGTCCCCCCTATCATGGACAGCCCAAGCCGAAAGCTGGCGCTGGAGCTCCATGTGCCGGGAGCCCGGCGGCCGCGGAGCCTTGGAGCGGAGCCTTGGAGCGAAGCGGAGCGAAGCGGAGCGACACTGAGGCAGCGGGAAGCACAGAGGCAGAGTTCCAAAGCTCTCCTGATCTTGGAGGTGAAGGCTGGGCGGGCTGGGTGATGAGCTTTTTTTGCCAGAATGTGGCCACTTGGCAGTTCTGTGATTTGTCCTCGGGTTTGGTAACTGTCCTGTCCGCGGGCATGCCATCGTCCTCCGATGCCGCTGCGTGCATGGTGCAGTGACGACCGGTCATCGGATTTGGCAACCATCTCGGTGATGCCGGCATGTCAGCATCTCCTGGTAAGTGTGATCCCAGGTAAATTGCAATACATGGGCCTCACCGGAGTCTCCGAGCGCTGCGCGTCTGGTGCCGAGGTAATGTTGGCACGCAGTGTTTGAATCCCGCCAGTACTTGGGGAACCATTTTGGTCACGTCTCTCCAAGAAGCCAGTGCATGGGGGAAGCATGTTCGCCTTGCTCGTGAATCCCATCCCCCGCCAGTACATGCAGGAAATAATGTTAATTTAGTCGTGCGAAATCGTGTTGAGCGCGTGTTGCGGCGACGATTCGCGATGGGTCATCTCGGTGAATCGCGCCGGTACATGGGGAAGCATGTTGGCCGTGCTGTAGAATCATCCGTTACTCCCATCTGCTTCCCACCAGTTCTTGGGGGGAAGCATGTTGGCCGTTCTCTTGAATCCCCGCCAGTACTTGGGGCGAGGCGCTTCTGAATTTAGTGCTTCATGTTGGTTAGGTCTTTGAATCCCGCCAGTACATGAGGAAGCATTACCGCCGTGTTGTCGAATCCCGCCAGCACATGAGAGGAAGCATGTTGGGCGCCAGCACACCGGGGAATGGGTTTTGGCTGTGCAGAATCTGGGCAGAAGGATAAAAGGGCTTACTTAGGGCGAAGGGCTTCGTGGAAGGGCTTCATAGAAGGGTTTAGAAGAAGGGTTCGTAGGCGGACAAGGGTTTGTAGAAGGGTGTATGATGGATGGATAGATGGATGGGTGGATGGGATGGATGGCTAGGTGCATGGATGAATCAAGAGATGCACGGATGCATTGATGGATGATTTGGACCTTCGGGACGCTCCATCTCTTCTTCGATTCTCGACCTTCTGGCAACGCTCACAGCCCAAGCTTCGGCAGGATGCAGTCATCGACAGTTTGGAGCAGCGCCTCAACGAGGCTCCTTGTCTCAGGTTCAGGGACAGTGAACAAGCTAAGTTTCGCATCGGCTGAGTGCGATTTGCCATGCCTCATCGTCAGGCCCTTGAGGAGGCTGCAGAGCTCAAGCCGCTCGGGCAACAAAATTCGCAGGAGTGAACAACACAGCCAGCAGCGCTCAGCCGACCACGCTGGAAAGCTCTGAATACCCCATAATACTCCGCGATTTCTGTGCATCTTGCAAGGTGTCGGGCTCATGCTGCCGAGGATCGCGTGCAGGCCGCCGAGCTCGAGAGGCCAGGGCGCTTTCGAGAGGCCCTCCTAGGTCCTATGATTCTGCAAGAGGGCCCCCCCGAGCCAGGCGTCGCGCGGCCGAGGCTGTGCACGCAGCCTCCACAGAGAAGGCAGAGAAGATCTGAACGTAACTACACCTGCAGTTTCCTCTTACATCTACTTGGTTCCGATGGTTCAGGGCCACACCTATTCCCAAAAACAGGGCCTGGCAAAACGCCTCGGTTAAGCAATTTACGCAACATCTACGATTTCGGGTTTCAGAGGGGAGTGAAGGGAAGCGATGAGAACCGCTTGGCCCTTGAGCATCGCTTGTAAGATCTTGTAGGAGCCCGCAGAAGCAAGAATCCTCGGAACGCTGAGCCATCCAAGTCTCCTGAGACCCTGGAGGCCACGGAACTGGTAGCCAAAGCCTGGGATGCCGAGAAGCGCTCGGAGGCTGCCCGGCGGCCCTCCCTCCCCTCAGAGTTCTTCTCGGGCTTCTAGTCGAAAACTCTAGGGCCCAGCAGCCGGTGTCTCGAAGCCTGCAAGGTGCTACCCCGGCGCAACCGCAAGAGTTTGTGTAAAGGCCTTCTGTTGAATCCGTTGAAGTCGCGAAGCCCGGGAGGTCCTGGCTGAGGAAGCCCGAGCTCTGCGGCGGCAGCGGAGCGCAGCACAAGCAAAGGCGGAGGCAGGACTCCCCCAAGCAGTTAACCGAGGCTAGTTTGGCATTGGGGGATGTGCGGGGCAGGCGACGGAGGTGGCGCTGGCGGAGTGCCGCGCCGAGAGTGAGGCGGCAAACTCTCGTGCCTTGGCATCTTCGGCTTCATTGCTTGGGTTTCCAGACTTCGGATGAGCGTTCTGTTGCGGTGTTCGGTGTTCTTGCGCATTCTTGCGAATTGCGGTTGTGAGGGTATGTAGCCGGATCGGTGTCTTTGCATCAGCGCAGGTGCTGCAGCTTCAGATGAGACCGAGATTGCAACGCTGCGGGAGACGTTGCACCGCTGTCAAGCGGACTTGGTGCATGCGGAACTGGAGGCAGAGGCGGCTGCACGGCGGGCCTCGGCGGCGCAAGCACCACACTCGCTGAGCGAGCTGACGGAGACGCCGAGAGGGAACCGAGCGCCGAGCCGCAAGGGCGACGGTGACGGCGGTGACGGCGGTGACGGCGACGGCGGACACGGGCCGCCGGGCGGACTTCGCCTTGGCCGCAAGGACGGGGACCAGGCCGACCTGGAGGACATCCTCGAGGCTGTGAAGCAGCATGACTTGAAGATGACCGCGATCAAATCGGAGCTGACCCGGAGGGAGGAAAAGGGCAATGCGACGCCGGATGAGGTGACTGTCATTGAACTCCAAACTCGACGAGATGAGCAGGAGGAGAGCACATAAAGGCATCTGCATACTGTTGACTTAAGGTTGTACGAGTACTGGTATTGGTACAACTTGCATCCACTTCTAGCTGATTCTAGCCAGAGACCCCCCTCTGAACCTTCGAGGAGCGCCTTCGTATCCTCGAGGCCACCCGCCACGCGGACAGGGCAAGGTGGCGTTCTGCGGCATTTCGGCAAAACAGATGTCAGGGGCTTTTGTGGCGCTCAGCCCGCCGCGGATTCTCTTCTGCCTAAGGACGAAAGCACCCTGCGTGACCTCTCTCTTCTTGAGGACACTCCGTCTTTCTCTGGCGAGGTGAGGGCGTGTTCCTGTGTTGCGCTAGAGGCTTGGGCCCTGCAAGGAGGCGGCCAGCGACTTTCGGACATCCTTGGCCTTACAAGCTTCGGTTTCCGAGCTGAGCTCAGCTCTCCGAACTGCGATTGGGTCGGGCAGTGATTGGTGTTTCGGGGCCCTCAAGATTTTTCGCATTGTCGATGTGAGACTCAGGAACAAGAGACGGCCGTTTCGGCTGGCGGAGCTTTGGCTGCAGCTTGTGTTTGTTTTGCATCTCAAGCTACTGCTGCTTGGGCGCACCACGTTGCCACAACTGTATTCTTTTCTTGTTGTCGTGTGCTGTGCGAGGCCCAGACAGTTTCCAACTTTACAAGTACAGTTTATAAGGAAGAGATGTACACTACGACGAAAGTGAGGACAGAGAGGGATACGGGTGGGGGGGGGAAGAAATCAGAAAGCCACAGCAGACAAACAGGAATGGTATAAGCGACGGAAAGCACACAGGCCGCGGAGACAGTTGATGTAAACTCAGAGATGACAAACAGACACCAAGGGAAGCATCAACAACAAGCATCCGGCAAGAAAGAGCAAGTAGATAGAGCATGACAATAGAAACATCTAGCAGAGAAACCTAGAATGGACAGGACAATGAAATTAGAAGATTACAACGTGGAAGTTAATAGCACATGACACTTGGGAGCATGCGAAACGAACAGCACGAGGAATTTGTTAAAGCTGCAGCGAGGTCGCACACCCACAGCATAGCTGGCACCCGACAGCAAAACGAGAGACAGATACTCATGTCAGAAAGAGGAGGGTCTCAGCACCATGCGCAGGAACGAATGCAGAGCGCAGATGAACGAATGCACATTGTGTTCAATGCTGTCATCCAGGCAGAGAGCATGAGTCGAAGACGCTACAGGAGGCAGTGGAGGACTCGGAGTTGCTCCCTTTGCGCTGTACGCAGACTCCCGTCAGAAAGGGAAGTCTCCGGACTCCGGAGGACCGCGCCGAGGTCCGGGAGGAGTTGGCCTTGGCGCGCTGCCTCGTCGCCGAGGCGGCCTAGTCCAGTTCCGACAGCAGACCTTAGAGCGCTTCAGGGATTCCCTGTGTAGTACTTTAGAACGGTCGTCAGGCATCCGACTCTCGGCGCCTGCTTGGAGAACTCTGCGGTCGCCGAGAGACTCTGCCGAATGGAGTATTTCAGAAATCAGCAAGTTGAGATTGTGCTGCTTGATTTGGAATTGAAACAGTGTACACCGGAAGTATCGAGCGGTCTGAGCCTGCAGGAAACTCTTCGGGCCAAGCAGGCGATGCAGCAGGCAGGAAAGGGACTCTGCAAAAGTCTCATTCACGGATTTCGCGCGAACCTGGATTCAGTACAAGGCCCGCCTTGATTTCTTGACTGCGGCGGGGAACGAGGCGAGCAGAGCCGCTACAAAGGCCAGATGGATGTTCTCGACCTGCACGTGTCCAGTTCTACACATCCAATTCGAGGGCTCAGGCTGCAAGTCTGTGCATCATCACGGTCAAGTCAGGGCTTTCTGCGCAGACACAGCAGCACCCCCTTGATTCAGAGTATGGGGTCATAAGATATCATAAGGCCGATGAGGTGGATTGTCTTCCATGGTGTATCCTTGTGTCATATCCAGGCTAGCCTGTTGGCGCCGCTCCCTCCGCGCAGGGCACCGGCCGTGGCTTTGCCAATTGCGGGATGTCGCACTCTTCAGCAGTGTCCCCCAAAAAAGTCTGATTTCTCGTGCCCCTTTGCGCAGAAACCGTGGCACCTGCGGGAGACCAGCTGAGGCTCGTCATCGCGGTAGCTATTATCTCCACCTGTTCCAGGTGAGGCCGAAGCTGGATATGGTTGCTGTCGACCATCGCACGGCGCAACTTCGCGAGGCTTGCATGAGCTCACTTGTAGAACTTCAAAACCGAGACTCTCTTGTCACAGACTGTCGCGGCGATAGGGAGCACATGTCAGTGTTAGGCATTGGACAGACAACTTGCAGACAGATGGTAGTATCTGCCGCAGGAGGTCGCCTTGCTGAAGAGACAGTGTTCCGAGAAGGCTTGGGGCTTGGGGTGCAGCTTGAGTGGAAGCGGAAAGCGACTTGGGTTGCTTCTTCAGGTTGGGAAAGACCCCGTGCGCATGTCGAGTGTACCCCGAACCTGCTGCAGAGTGACGACAGTCTTAGTCACGTAGGGGGGGCACAGAGTTGAAAAAAGACTTCGGAACTTGCTTGTGCTTCATGGTTTCTTGTGGTTGCGACCATGCCTCGTGCGACCGCTCACTGCTGCCAGGGCTACAACACCGCACAACATTGGGGTGCAGTCTTTCTTTCTCTCGATGTGCTTGCGGTAACACAGCAAGGACGACACACGGCACGTGTGGCAGCAAGAGATGCTGGAAATTCGCGGCCGTCATGAGACTGTGCTCTGTGAGAAGGCGGAGGAAGATACTCGTTTGCATCGCTCACAGCAAGTCCACCGCTCTCGGCTTGACTCGAATCCTGAGTCTGAGCTCCAAGGATTCTACAGAAGGCACGCGGCTCCCGACAGTCGTGGCAAAGAGCCTGCGGCAGATACCTGGCTGATGTTAACGGAGTGTCTCACAGGTACTTGCGCATGGGGATTTTTGAGCCTCACTTCTACAGCTTACACTTAAAAACTCCAGAAACTCCGTGGTTGTTTGTTGAACATCATCGGGCCTCCTTGCGTTCCCTGATCTCGATCTCGACATCGCGAGGCTCGGAGAAAAGACGCAGCCTCTTCGGGTCGCAGGAAAGCGACCAAGGCCAACTTCGGATGCTCAGCTTGAGCTTTTTGCCTTTCGAGACGCTTTTTTTGGGTTATGGAGACGCCTGTGGACTTTGGTAGTGGAGATTTGGGGAAGATGCGAAGCATGACGGACGCGTCTGCCTGGTGAAACCAAGATGACTGGTCCGTGAAGATTTTTAGGATGAGCAGCTGAGGTGAAGCAAGCACGGAAGCCGAACGATACTGTGGCCAAAGTTCTCGGGTAACACGTCTGCAAGCTTGTTTCCTGTTTGCCTGATGCTTGAACATGTTCAGTTGTGCTTAGCAAGTGCACGTCGGACACGTCCATTTTGCTCCCAAGATCGTCATGGGCTTGTCAGGGTATTGGGACACCACGAGTGGCTTGATTTATTTTTTTGTTCTTGCTGAGAATGCATAGCGGTGTTTGCACTGGACTTCAGAGTTGGCAGACGGCTCTTCGTCGCTCGTTTCAGGTCCCTTCTGCAGCTCCTGGCAGAGACACAGCGCCGAGCCGTCTGCAGCAACGTCGCAGCGGAACGTCGCCTGGTCTGGATTCGGCGGTAGCAAGTGTCCAATCTACCCGCGGGTGTATGTACCAATTGGTTGTGCTAGCTCATCGGAACAATTATGTCTGTGCATTCGCGACAGCGCCAGCTTTGTCGCTGTCGCATCTGCGCGGCTGAGGATATCGCAAAGCTGCCCTGGCGAGTGGAGCTAGAGGAGTCCAGACATGTTCTCTTGAGGTTTCGAACCAGGTCTCGAACCAGACTTATAGGCATCCAGCCGAGCTGAACTGTGGCACTGCGGACACCGCCTGCTTGAACAAAATATTGCCAGAAGGCCCCAAGTGTAGACCTACAAGCGTACGTCTTTCAACCTCTCGACCGCGCTGCTGGAAACTGCATCGGAAGCTGAATTGGCAGGGCAGCCGGTGCGACCCTTTCCTCGCACGGCCGCGCGGCAGCTGGAGCAGGCCAGCTGTCTACAGATTCATCTATGTAGCATGTATATGTTGGGTTAATTACATGCATGCGTGAATTGCACATCCAGCCATGGATGCATCCGTGCATCCATCCATCTATCCCTCCATCCATCTATCCCTCCATCCATCCATCCATCCATCCATCCATCCAGCCAACTATCGTACATGACAAGCAGGCAGGCAGGCAGATAGACAGGTAGATAGGTAGATACTTGCAGAACATGCGAGCCAGCGCCAGGCTTTGCAATGTGCTGCAAGGGCCGACGACGAGGCAAAGCAGTCTGACAAACCGAGAATCGAGAAGACTTCTATACAAAGTCAAAACGAGCGGATTGGGGTCAGCGGCGCACACGTTCAAGTTTCAACCTCATGAGCCTGACAGAGGAAGGTTGACCAGTGAAAGTCTTTGCCGTATTTTAAGTTACCCCAAGTTGCTGTATTCCTGGTACGCTTCGAATCGCTTCGACAGATTGCTTATGATATGGTTGCATCATCGCAGAGCAGCACATGCGTTGCAAAGCGATCCCACGCACTGCCTCCACGATTTCCAGGCCAGCTGCGTGGAAACGCACGAGCGATCCCGCTTGGAGGTTGCCCCGAGCGATGTTCCTGCTGCCTTTTCTAGTATTTTGAGCGCGGCCGGTGGCGACATGCTTACAGACGAGCTGCACCAGATTCGGCACTGCTTCGTTGCAATACTGAAGCTGCTAGGCGGCTGCCGCCGAGATGTTTTCTGAGCTAGAAGAGACGCGTGGGCAAGGTGAGCAGCTCGAGGCACGCAAGGGGTAGAATTTAGGGATGCGTTGAGTTTGACCCACCATTCAAACTTGGTGAAAGGAGAGGTGGCGCAAGCTTGTGACGAGCAGTTCAATTTATTTATCTCTGTTTTGCAAAGACTGCGTGTAATGTTAGTGCTCAATTTCCTTGGATGTTTTCCTGCAAAGACGGCCTGTCAGAGTTGCTGCAGATCTTTATGTACGATTCAGCGGAGAGCAAGGGCAGATTACCTCTCCTTCATGACTTCCCGGAAACGGCGAAAATAACCTTATGGATCCTTACAGGCCCGACGCTTGGCGGCAGTGGCGACGCTCAGAGCACAGGAGGCCAGGGCCGCAGACGAGGCTGGGGGCCCGAGGAAGCTCTTCTTCCAAAAGTGATGGCTGCCCCACTGCGTGACGTTGAGTGATTGTGGCAGAAGTCTCAATGTTCTTATCCCGCCGCTTGCTGCTACTGTTCAGCCAGTCTACATTGGCTTGTGCTTGAAAGGGCAAGCGCAAGCGAGAAGAACAAGCTTTGGCACTCCCTTTGAAGGTTTTGAGTGGGAAGGCAGGCAGAGGAAGGATGACACCGTCGCAACGATGTTTCGGGACTAGCCGAACGGGCAGGAGGATGCTCACCCAACTTCCTTGAAGAAAGGGCCCAGAACTTGTAAAACCCCCCCTACCATTGCCATAGTCCCTGGCCCTGGCCCTGGCAGGCTCGTGCCAGGGCCTTGGACCCCTCTTGGCGCGACGAGGCCGTAGCCACTTGGAGTGCACTGCTTCTGAACTTTGAAGTGTGCGCAGTGCAGTGTCCATACTGAAGGGTTTGAGGCTTGAGAGGTTCTTGAGGTGACTGGGGCTCGAGCTTTGCTTCAGCGGCTTTGGCGTTCCTTGCATTGCAGATCTCAGAGTTGTTGTAAGTTTTGACGCCTCGATGGAGAGCCCAAGGAAGAGGCTTGGCGGCTGGCCCGTGAGACTGGGCGCGCCCCTGCAGCAGATGGTGAGGCTGAGGTGGAGAGCAGGGGCAGTTTCATCTTGTGCTCTGATTTTTGTCTCGCTTGCCGAGATGGCCGCGACATTTGCACTCTCTCTGGCGTCTATTGCTCTCAGACTCGACCCTGAAGGATGTTCTTCGTGCCGCCCAGGCCCGTGGGGTTCTCCCAAAAACCTCCGAGTACGTACAAGTATGCACTCCCAGCAATAAGAGAGCCTGGCTTGGGGAGGTGCTGCGCCTCCTGGGATTGCAGCTGGTGGCCTGGGAGCTGGCGGAGAACCTAAAAAGTGCGCCGCCATGCCGCAGAGCCTGGTGACACCACCGAGAAACCTGCAGGCCATCCCTTCCAGCATCTTGAAACTCGCTGCAAAGCCAAGGCATCTCAGGGCGGACAGCCTGGAAGTGGCAAACGCTGCCCTTGCGAGGGTCGTGACACAGCAGGACCGAGTATTGTGCTTCGATCTTCATGCAGGCAGGGGCGAACGTGGCCGTTGCCTCGCAGAGGCCCCGTCTGGCCGTCTCGGGCCTGTGAGTCCGCCACGGGTGATCGAGGCCCAATTGATCGTTTGCCGACCGGGGCCGCGTTGCTGCACCGAAGTGGCTACCTGGCTACCCTCCATCAATGCACCACCAGCCCCAGGCACATCATTTCACGTCCTCGTGCCGGTTTCAGCACTGTTGGCAGGCGGCATGGGCTTCGAAGCGGGTAAAGCTGGCGGAAGCCGAGCAGAGGCCACTGCTGCGGCGGCTCTTCAGACATTGTTCGATCGAATGCCTTCTTAAGCCGTAGCCGTTATCGATCCGTGCTCTTGTTGACGCTGAACTTCTCGATTGAGGCCAGGAGGTTTCGGTAAATTCGGCCGTTGCCGGAGACGTGTTGCGGCGGATTGCTGCAGATATGGCGCCGGAGGGTGGGTCCTTGCGCTTGCAAACCGCAAAATGTGAGGCAGCGAGAAGCTTCGCGGCTTCAAGCCGAGGCCAGAGAATTCAACAGCTACGGTTGGTGAGATATTCAGCGAATCGTGGCTCTTGTCTTCCTTCTAGCTTCGGGAATGCCAGGGAGGGCGCGGGGCAGCTGATTTTCGGAGATATTGAACCTCTGAGCGAAAGACTTCCCTCGTTGCTTCTGAGGTGCAGACCTTCCACGCCGAGCTAGCACGCGCGCAGCGTTCTGAGGCCGAGGCAGCAGCAGAGCTCGCAGCGGCAAGGGCTGCAGGCGGCGTTGCGTGGGCTGGGGGTGTTTGAGGGACCATGTCGCTTGTAAGACTGCAAGCGAGCTGCAACTGTTTTCTTGCCCGACTCTCATTCTTTCTACGAGAACGTCTTAAGTGACTATGTTGATGATGCCTTACTTACCTTTCGCCATGAAGGCACGACTCGCAGATCGGTGCAACAACAGCACCCTGGCAGTGGTTAAGAACTTGCCGACGTGAATAAGATACACAATACATCAAAGTCGGTTGGTAATCATGACTGCAGTGGTAGTATCTCAGCTGATGATCTTGTAGTGATGGTCAAAGTCGCAAGCACAAAAGACATCATCTCGATAAATTTGGTGATCGTGATTACACTGTCAACATGATAATTGTAAGAGTTAATCATCAGCAAAAGAAGGGAGAAGCATATTGCTCCGTGTCGGATCCTCTTACTGGCCAAACAGTCACCAAGGCAGAAGCAGGTGCTGGCTCCGGAGATGCAGGATCCCAAGCTCCTGGCCAGTATGTTGGACGTCATGCACCAGGTGCCTTGGCGTCGGCAAGGGATCACAATCTGCCCAACGCAGATGCTGCCATCAGGTGATGGAGATGTGTTCTGGCATGCTGCCTGCCCGGGAGCAAGCCACCGCAGGCAAGGCAGAAGTGCTGTGGAATTCCTGCCAGGCCTAGGCGCTCTTCTAAGTATTCAGTTGATGTTATGGTTGTTTGTAGGCTTACGGCGTTGGCTTCTTCCTTCATTATCTTTGCTTCCGACTGTCACGGTTGTGCTTTACATGGTTAGCCTGTCCCACCCACTCTCACTAGGAATGCACAGGTTGTCAGTAAGTTTGTCGCTTGACGCCACGTCAGTTGGGGCAGGATCACGTGCCTGGCCGAACCCTCAAGCCGAGGCTAGTCCGAACCCCAGCCCTGTCATCCGGGAGGCTCCGATGATGCCATGACTGCCATCCTCAAGGAGGTGAAGGCTGCGATAGTTGCTGGGATGCAGGGACCTTGGTTGGGCGCTTTGTTTTGCACCGGCTGTCAGGAGCTGGGTGGCTTCTGCCAGAAGCTCCAGCAAGATGTCCACTCCCAAAGGCGACCTGAAACAGGACAAAGTGGGGATGCGGGGATCAGGAAAGCCGTGGCCATGGTCTCCAGGCAGTCGCTCTCGGCCATCGCCTTGAACTCGTCAGTGGATGGCCAGAGCCAGAGGCGGCAGAAGCGAGTTCCCAAGTGGCTAAGCGGCTGAGCTCCTTGTAGTCACTGTTTTTGAGATTTGTCGAAATGGTGCACGATCATATGCGCCGGCAGGGACGAGACTTCGAAGCGGATGGAAGCTCTGTTGCTTCGTTGCATGTAGATCGGGTTCGATTTGACAGTCTTCTGACAGCTCAGCTCGAAGCCGAGGTTGGAGCTGCAGCATGAGCTCCAGCTACAATACAAGCCCGACTCCTGGGATCCTGGGATCCTGGGATCCTGCAGTTCTAATCACACTGGATGAAGCTTCCGCCTGAGGACGGCAGCGGAAGCGGTGCTCGGCCTGCGCCAGGTCCAACAAAAAAAGGTTGATAGGGTTCATCTTGGAGGGTTTAGAGTTCGGTTTTTGGTCCGTTCTGATCTTTTCAGAGCATCGCCTCAACAGGATGTGGCCGCAAAGGCCCTTTGCGAAGAGGAGCTGCAGGCGGAGGTCCTGGGCGAGGCAGGAAGTGGCGGCTTATCTGCCAATTTCCCGAGCTTCACCTACCAGCCTTCCGATTAGCCTGACATAGCCTGATGTTGCGCAAGCTAACTGAAAACTCCACCCATCCGCGAAACAGGAGAAGGCGGTTCGAGCAGCCGAGGCCAGCAGCCTCAATGCATGAGAGCAGAGCGATGTGGTTGATGCTTCGCAACGCCATGTTTCCCGAGTTGGCTTGCAGCCTTTAGGTCTGTGTAGCAAGAAATGCCCCCTTCCATGACTTTCAGTGTCAGGCCATGCTCAACGCGGAGTCCACTGCTGAAAGCACAGCTTCCCTGGCACTTGTTGCCGAGGTGGAGGCGGAGACGGTTTCAGTAAGTGTCAGGATCCCGTCAGAGTCAGGGTGTGTCCAAAAGATTTGCGAAGCTCAGTGTGGGTTTTAGCCCTGTGCTCTTTTGGGGCTGCTTGCTGGTGCTTTGGCCAGCCTTCATATGTCCGCAGATGTCCGCAGCATCCTGCAACAGATCGGTTGCAGCCTCTGCGGATCCAAGCGCCGATTGGTAGTAATTCGAGACCGGAGCTGGAGAGGTCACACCGGAAGCAGCGCAGCTCAAGGAGCTGTGCCGCTGCATGGCAGCACTGTTGTAAGTCACGCCACGCAGCAGTCTAGATGGAAGGGCATGCACATAATGACATAGACACCATCCCTGAGCTGGCCGAAGTCGCAGGGAGCCGACGTCGGAAATTCTGCGCTTTTTGGGCCAAGGCCTGGAGCGCCGCAAGATCGAGGAGGCAGCCGTGGAGGCCGACCGCAGGCGACGCAGCTTCGAGGAGCAGCAGAATGCGAGAGTATGAGTTGCAAGAGTATAAGCGGCAGCGAAAGGGGACAGGGACAGGATGCATTCTCTTTTAGCCTGGAGAGAGCCGAGCCTCGACAGGAGCAGAAGGCCCTGGCCGACTCGGCCGCCGCCAAGGCCTTCGAAGAGGCCGACAGCTTCTGCTAGAGCGAAGAAATGTCTGCGACGCGGATGAGCCGCGGCGGAATCTCGGGGCTTTGTAGCTACGCGCTGACGCGTTGAGCCGAAGCCCGAAGCTGCTGGGTCTCGAAAGGTTTCGAGGGCGGAGGCGGAGCGCAGTGCGGTTCGTCTGGCAGAGGAGGCCTTGGGTCGGCGTTGGTCTTGGGCGCGAGGGAGATGCGAGTGGGAGCGAGGCCAGCGATGGCGCAGAGGCCGCCTTGGTCTCCGCACGGCGACAGCAGCGGAACCGAGACGAGGCCGGGCAGGGCGGCAGCGGGGTGACTTTCCGAGGCATCCGAGGCTCCGAGCGTTTCGTCGCCTCGGCAGGCTCGGGCTGAGGAGCTCGCTGCCACGGAATGGGCATCGCACGTCGACGAGGTCCCTGTGCAGTCCGGGCTCGGACATGCGAAAAGGCCGAGTCGGATGTTCACCTGTCAGGAGATGCGAACGAAGGAGAGCTTGAAGAATTGCGAGGAGAAGCTGAAGGATGAGGCTTGCCCTATGCTGCTTTGCTTAGATTGTCTTGCAGCTTTGCTTGAAGGTGTTGGAGTCGGAGCGGCTGCGCCGGGAGATCCTCCGTGTGGAGGGCGCGCAGTGGGAGCTCCAGCTTCTTGGCGGAGCTTGCGAGGGCCAGCAGCTTCGGTTTCGGACTCGAGCATGTCGGGCTTTGTTGGTTTTCGTGCACGACTTTGTAATGTTGAAGAATGAGACCACCCTCCCCGACACACCAGTCCGATGGCTCAGCCTGGATAATCATGAGAGTCTCCCAGGAAGCGCTTCTCCCCTTCGCTGAAGCGCATCGATGAGCTGCGTCACCGCCGTGCAACACTGGAGACGGAAACTCAACGAGCACCTCGGATTTGAAGAGCGTTCCGATGAATCTCGGCCACATGCTTCCCTGTGCAGGTGGGGGCGTATCCCGAGAGGGCTGTACAGGCGACCCAGAACCGCGTGGTGCAGGCTCCTTGGCGAGGATTCAGGAGACCTGTTTTGTGGGTGTGCACAGCTCAGGTGGAGGGACAGGTCTCTGATATCTTCGGGCAGCTCGAGCAGGTCAGCGCGGAGGAACGTCGGCTTCGGGAGTCTGGCGTGTCAAGAAAATGCCTCGATTCTGGAATTCTATTCTGCACTCCACACTGCGCTGCCCCCAGTACCAGGAGCAGCAGCACAAGGCGGAGGCGCTGGTTTATGCCTCCCAGGCTGTGCGGGGTACAGCATGTGACAGTGAACCCACGGAAGTTTGGAAGCCTTAGGGCCCCGCCGGGCCCCACGGGCCCTTGCCAGGCGGCCGCCGCAGCGAAGCTTGCTGCCGAGGCCGCAGAGCAGGAGGCGGCTGCAGAGCTGCGCCTCGAGGCCGTGCAGGCGCCCTGAGAACGAGAGAGCGGGCCAGTGACGGCTAGTGGCTAGAGGAGCGGACTAGTCAGGGCGAGCAAGGTCCACAGCTTGCACCAAAGGCCTCAAAGAATTTTCTTCCCGAGATGTGACAAACTTCGACATAGACTTGAAACCCGAATCAGCCCGCACCCTCTGTCTTCTCGAGGCCCAGGAGAAATGGCAGGAGATTGCACACCGCGATGAGCACCACGCTTGGCGGAACCAGGTGCAGGACGCATTCATGAGCAGGTCTTCTGCAGGCTAACAGAAACTTGTCGCAACAACCGGAGACATACGGGCCATACCCGGTGGTTCCCGCAACAGCGTGGGGGCAGCCCCTTGTAACTGCAACCTGGGCCCTTGGCATCAAAAGTGTCAGGGCGTCGAGTTGCAGGCCTTACGATTTACGGTTTGGGTTTAGAAGTTTAGGGTTTATCGGGTTTCGCTGTAAGTGCTCGTGTGTTGCAGTTTTCTTGCTGTGGAAGCTAGCTGTGCAGTGGGCGTCAACCTTCTTGACGTGACAAGCTGCGAGCTGCGAACCCTGGCATACTGTGCAGGTTCTTGGGCATGGGCGAGGCTTAGTGTTCGCTGTTACCGAAGAAGTCTACCGCGCATTTTGCCCAAAGCCTTTTTGGGGGATCCCACCGAAAAAAGCCCAAAGCCTCTCGCAGCAGCGGAGTAGCGCGTCAGCCAGCAGCCAGGAGCTCCAGGAGCAGCAGCACCGCAGCCGGCGCGCCCAAGCAGCAGCCGAGGCCTCTCAGCTGGAGGCCCCTTGCCGCCCATGCCGCCCTTGCCCTTTCGTAGCAGACGGACCAAAAAAAGGATGCGCTTTGGGATCTGATCCGCACTTCACGCAGCCCTCGCAATTCCAGGTGGAGGCCGCACTGCGACGTGACACTCAGCGCCTCAAGGCTACAGGGATGCCTTTCACCATCGTCTGATCAAGTACGGACGAAGCAAGCGAGTATAAATTCAAGGAACTAGTCTCGAGTCTAGAGCCCTAAAAGCATCGCCTTCTTAACAGCAAACAGGCAACGCCGAAGAAACGGGTTGGAGGAAGGAAGGGAGGAAGTGCGGAAGGCATGGACGCATCGGGCGACCAGACTTCGCAAACCCGCAGCACTAGTAGTGTTTGTCAACAAACATCTGGCAAGGCCAGGGGAGGGTTGGGTTGTGCCAAAGGCTAGCTCACTCCCCAAACCCATCCGAGCCCGCGTTTGAATGAGCCACATGCGGGAGCTGTTTATGGACGGGTCGCAGTACTGTCAAAGGTTTGTATTAGTTTATGTTGATGACACAGTGCCGTAGATGGTGTCATCGAATCCCCTCATGCATCTTCCTGACCTCTCGGCACGTTGTTGGCCGCTTGATCACTAGGCGTTGTACCGTTGGCTATTATCACTTCAATATGTGGGTTCCTACAACAACCTCGCACGATAAAGGGCAGCTGTGCTGGCCTCTGCTTGATAAGCATAATGAATCTTACTTAGCCTTGGAGCTCCTGTGATGATGTGCCGATTCTTAATGCTCTGATTTTGCTACGCTTCAATTTGTTAGTTGCCCGCTTGTTGGCAATGCAACTGTTCGCAGGGGTTTAGTTGGTTCAGGCCGCCGGGTCACTTCTGACGCGAGTGCTCCGGGTGGTGATAGCCCGTGATAGCCCTCCCAATGGATCAGCCTTGTCTCGGAAGGTGGCCGAGCTCAATGCATCGCCGCTAGGCAGCCAGGAGAGGGCACTTGGATCAGTCCTTCACCTCGCTGCAGACAGCAGCTCGAAGCCCTGTGAATTTTCTCAGTTCGATGTCTCAGGTTGCAGGATGCCGAGTCCCGCTGTGCAGACGCCGCCCAGCGGAACGAGCGGCACGGAGGAGCGGGGCCGGGGCGGCAAAAGGAGCAGGCGGGAGTCTACGAAGTCGGAGTCCACTGGCTCTCCGGCCTTCCGTCGCAGGTGCTTCTGACGGAGCTGGCGGCCATCCGAAGCCAGGAGGCCACGTTGCTCGAAGAGATGGAGGCTTTGCGCCAAGCGGCTGCGTTGCCTGGGCCGGAGCCGATCGTCGCGACGCAGAAGCCTGCACGTGCGGTGGCAGCTCGGCTTCAGCAAAATCGTTGAAGGCCCGCTGCAGTTAAGCCCAGGGTTGCAGCAGCGAGGCCCCAGCCGGGGAGCTACAGCGGCTCCATGCTCAGCTGCGCCGAGCCCGCGAACAAAAAGAGGCTCCATTCGGGGAGGTGAGGCAGGGTGAGAAACCCTAGCTGCAGGTCGAACCTACGCCAGCCGGAGAGCAAGTTGACAGTTAGAAAAGTCGCTGACGGATGTAGGGCAGACTGCGGCTGAGATAAAAGCCGGGTTCATGTTCTCGGGGTCTGCACGGAGAACTCACTCAGCCATAGGGTAGCCGCCTGAAGCTGCAGGTCTTGAAGCAGGAAGTGGCTGTTGGCGAGCGGGAGGTAGGGTCGAGCTGTTCCGCATTCTTTGCTCGCCACAAGTTCATTTGTATGTCCATATAGTTGTTGATGCACTATTAGGACATGGTTGCCTTTGTACTGCTTGTGGTTTCGAGCTACTGCCTGAGTTCTGCAATGACAGATATGTCTCAACAGCCTATCCCCGAATCAGGAGCAGCTCTTGCGCAAGGAATTGGAAGAGGTGGAGCAGCAGCTGTGCTTTGGCATCACTTCGATTTCCAGGCATTGTGGTATTAATGGTGTTGAGAAAGTTGACAAGCTCCGTGGGCACAGGCCCACCTCCACAGCCGAATCACACTCTGCGCCGCGCTCCGAGGCGTTTGAGCAGAGACGACGCTGAGCGGAAGCGCGGCTACATCGCAACGCTGCAGCTCCACTGTCACCAGCTTGCAGCAATTTGCAGCATCGCATCAGAGCAGCCACGGCAGAACCAATCGATGGTGTGCAGTCTGCAGTTGTTTTCAGGTGGGGATGCCACCCCGAACCCCGAGCAGCTGGAGGCCCAGGTCGAGCGCCAGGCCGAGCTGAGCCAAGGCATCGCCAAGGCCGGGCGGGGAACCACCGGACAAAGTCTCTGCTCGAAAGAAGTTCTCCCCGCATCACCCACCTCGAGGTGCGCCAAAGCATCGCCAGCAAAGACCTGCAGCTGAAGGCCAGGGCGGTTTTTTGAGAAAAGAAAGCCCAGACCTTGGCAAAGCCCCAAAAGTTGTGTATGCGCCCTCGACAGCAGATAGACCCGACCTGAAAAGTTCTGCACCCTACGCGCTGAACGACGAGGCCCAACCCGCAAAGCTTTTAGCAGACCGCTGTTTGGGGACGGGGCTGTGGAACTCCAAAAAATTGGACTCGAAACCTTCCCAAGCCTCAAAAAAAAGCCAACAGGCATCCGGCCATATGAAGCCCCTGTAACCCTAAAACCCTCAACGTCCCCCGAGCCTAAGCCGAAGCGGAGAGCCTTCGAAGAGTCGCAAAAGGTCCTGAGGAGCGAGGCCGCTGAGGCGAAGAGGCGCCGCGAGGCGACTCTTAAAGGAGACCAAAGAGCGTTGTGTTTTTCTTTTTTGGGGCTTTAGGGTTTAGGGTTTCGAGCTTAGGGATGCAGGTGAGTGTGCGTTTTCTTTTTGCGAGAGGTGTGGGATTCAGAGCATCCTGCATCCCGCTTCCTGAGGCCCAGCGAGATGCTGAGGCCGCCGATGCGCGGCGCTGTGCTGCGGACCTGGCACGCACCAAGGCGCCAGCTGTCAAGAATCTAAAGTGCTTCTTCACTTGACCGGGATTCCTTCATTTGCTTCAGGCCCTTTGTGGCGCCATGCTGTTAGCAAGGAGCGTAAAGGTTACGCAAGTATCAGAATCTTGAACACAAGCAGATCTGCTAGGCCGAAGGCAAACCGGGTCCGGGTCCTCCGCAATCCAGAAGCTCGAACCTCCTTAAGATTCCCTCCCACCGAAGATTGTAAGATCATCCAAAATCCTGAACCCATCTTCAAGCGACTGGGTTTCAACAGGCCCTTCGCTCGGAGCTGCGCCGCAAAGAGCAGGCACTCCAGGAGCTCTGGGCGCAGAGTGAGGTGGGGCGACAGCACAGTCATCGGTGGCTGCGTGTAGCAGCAACAATAGCACCATGTAGCAGCGACCGTAGCATCAGCAATAAGCCGATGCGGTGACGTGATGAAGCGAGCACAATTACCAAACGAGTCAAAGCTAAAGTCGATGGTTGTTTGCGTTGAACATCGTTGAACTGAATGGTGCCCACTGGGCCAGTTACCAGCGAGTTGTTTGCGTACGAGCGTATACGTGGCCAACAAGACCCCCTCCAATGCCCTCGCTGGATGACTGTCACTGACATATGTGATGCTGTCTCAGTCTTTGAGAGCGGAAAGGGCCCAGTGTGCGGTTTTTGCCGGGAAGCCGGCAGGAATTTCAGCTTAAGCCTGGATTCGGCTCGCCCTGAGGTGATGGAGTCCCGTCTCGAGGAGAGCTTTGCTGGTGACAAGACCTGAGAGACTGGTCGCCAGAACATCTTGCCGAAGTACGATACCCACGTGAAGACGAACTCACACTGTCGTCGGCGTGATCCGCGATGCTTGTCACTGAATGCAAGCCCTGACGGTATTCCCCATGCCGCTGAAGTGATGCTGGTGGCAACACGGCGAGCTACACTCTGTACTGCAGAAGGTTTGCACACTCGCCTGGACGCGAGGCAACAATTGAAGGCCTGATGTTGGATCGACTGTCCGGACGCGCCAAAGTGGCAGGGCAGTTCTGTGACTCTGTGACGAGGAGGAAAGCATCGAACTCTGCCCGTGCGTCGGCTTCCGACGCAGGGGCCAGCGCTTCACTGCGGATGATCAACACTTCGCTGTGGGAGCATTTCGCCGTGTGGCTCCGAACAAGCCTCGGAAGTTTCTGCTTAGTTCGGAGCAGGGTGTATTCTTCTCCTGCTGGAATGACGCAGGCAGAGAGCTTTCTCACCAGGTCCACCTGGATTTGTGGGGTGGACGAGCACAAGCCGTGTGTTTTGTGCATGATGATGCGTTTTTTCGTACGGGGAACAAGCGACATTTGCTGCAGGGTTTGTGTCCTTTTTCAAGCTTGTGTTTGCTGCCAGCTTTCCCTACATCATCCCGTATCTGCAGATGTGCGCCCGCACCAGCATGTAGCTGCAGCTTGCTTCTCCGCTGCCGCTCGGGATCAGGGCGGGTGCCGTTTCAGCGCCGGTCCAGGCAGCGATCTGCCCAATCTTCGTTTAAGTCTAAGTCAGACCCGCTGGGTCATAAAAAGCACGGCTGCTCCTGACAGACCATTTGCACCATGTCCGGCCGTCCATCCGTCCCTCCGCTCTCATCGCCCTTCATGTCCCGTCTCAGTGAGGTGTTACACGTGCAGAAAACCAGAGCCAGAGAGACTCTTCAGCGTGCCAGGTAGGCTACCAGCAATGGTAGATCGGACACTTTGGGGTGCAGACCCCGCCTTTTGCCTAGAGGACATCCACAATGCCGGGGCCTGATCTCGTTTGGGGTGCCTGGAGCGGACTGGGTGAGCAGATGTTTAAGCAGTGCACACATCCATTTGCATTCCGACATGCTCGTGACTCCTTTTGGCGAGGCAGACTTCATCGCGCTGCGTGTAGATACTTCCGAAGGCACGTGGACTTGAAACTGTAGACGCCATGCTGCTGTGGTCCTGAGGTCATCAGGTTGGGAACGCTGGCCTCTGTAAAAAACGTTTACCTCAGAATACTCTCCTGCTCATGGCACGTTCTATGCTGTGCTTCGGTCCGTGTTTCGAGCCTGGCATGCATGCTGCCAGACATCTTCAATGTGCGGCCGCATGGGCCGATGTCTTTGAAGGACGGTTAGTCTTTCCAACGGGCAGGGCTGCAACAGGCACTCTGGATTCTGCAACATGTGCGAGAGTCTGCAAGCGTATGGCAAACGAAAGCTTTCTTGTGAGGACCATTTTAGAACTCGTGCGGGGGCCTTATGGTCGGAAGTCATTGGCCAGATCGTGGGCAACCTTTCATACGTTGCCGTCTGGCCATCTGGATGTGCAGCTAGGGCTTCACATGCATCCATTTTGTACACATCAGGGGCAGCTTTGGGGTACACTGCCAATGATGTCGGCTCTTGCACTGTGACGGAGGCGCGGCGAGTGCAGCGGGCCCCTGAACAAAGGCTGCCTCAAAGGCTCTCGCGATGTGCCGCGATTCGATTCTAGTTACCGAGCAACTGGCTGTCGTGAATAGATGCAGTCCGGCAAGACAAGCAGTCTTCTCTGTGGAGTGTTTAGAGATGAGAACATACTTCACCGTGCCGCTCTGGTGAATTCGCGGCGACTGGTGGCAGGTTGGGCGTGTGTTGTGCAGTGTGGAATGCTGCAGATCGCCGCCTGCCTGCAGATGTCGAGCTTCGAATGGAGAGATGCTGCCTCCTACCTGCTCAGATTTATGAATTTTTGATGCCTCCAGCATCATATCCAGACCGAGATCCCAGCTCTGCAGAAGCCCTGTGTTCAAATGTTGAAGCTCGCATCATCTTCGAATTCGAGGTTGGCCGTTTGCCTTCTCCACCAGTTCCCTGCCACGAACAGGCTTAGCGCCCGTAGGAGGTCTGCCAGGATTGAAATTCAGCAGAGGCCACTCTTGCCTGTGAGCATGCCGCTGTATCCCAGGCTGCTTCGAGCTGACGTCTTACGACCTGGGCCTCTGGTGCCTCTGACTGTCTCTTCGATGTTGAGACTGTGCAGAATTTCGCTGGTTAATGAAGAGCTTCTGATTACTGTCGGGCCTGAGTCGGCTACACCAAACCTCGGCACGCTGAAAGCCCCGCAGGCCAGGCAATCCACTCAACATGCCAGCGCATGTGCGGAACTACATCCACAAGAAGGCACTCGGGGCATTTACCATGGCAGCAATAGCGGTAAGCACAATTCTACTCGTGAGGCCTTCGGCCCACAGCCAAAGTCTCGTTCCTGGAAAGTTCGAGCTTAGACCAGGCCTCTGCGAAAGAACGCGCTGATGGGCGCTGGGTGCGGCCCTCAGGGTCCAAAGCAGTCCTCTCCTCGAACATTACAGAGGTTCCTTCACTTGAGAGCTCGAAGCATCTGGGTCATGTTATAGCTGTCATAGCTCCAGATGAGCCCAGAAAGCTTAGTGCCGAGACAGCTTTCCGATCAGGGGGAGTACATGTCCTCCTCGATCGTGGCCATTCTGAAGGCTTTGCGCTCGGTAGCTCCAAGCGTTGAAGATGAAAGACATGGCAATACTGAATTAATGCGGTCTTCGCGCGACTCACCTGATGCTAGTTGCGCACAGCCGAGGCCCTGCGAGAGGTTCGGGTCCCGATAGTCGTTTACGATGGGCCTGATGCCAAGAACACGTGGACTCCACTCTTTGTGCGTCGAGGGCTGCCATTCCCAGGGTATCTGGCGTCTGACTCATGCACCGAGGTTGCCGGACCTTCTGCAGCTCTATGCTCCCCCGGCTCGCTTTCGCGGCTTCGGATGTGCATGCTCGCGGCAAGCTTCACATGTCAGGACAAATTCATCGCGGATGTGTCGCAGCCTTGACTTTCGGTGCCCTTGTGTCGAGTTCAACTACGAGAAGCTTTCGACATCCTGGCTTGCGCGGTTTGGCGTCGCCCGCGGAATTGAGAAGAACAAGACTCTGCAGGGGGATGGTCATCATCGTTTCTCCTTCTCTTTTGCCGCAAAATCAGAAACCCGGTCATCTTTTTGGCGCGCCGTTGACTCCCCTGTATCCGAAGATGAGCGCAGTTTGAACTTTGCCTCTGCAGGCCGACAGATGTTGCAGTCTTCTCAGATGCATGGTTGAGGCAAGGAAGAGCGCCGCGGAAAGGATGGCTTCCATGAGCTCTTGTTTTTGCAGGCATTTTCCTGCCGTGTTTGACATCAAGTGGATGGCTCTCCAGGACTCGGACTGCAGCAGCAAATGTTCTCGGCGCCAGCCAACCGCTGATTCGTATGTCCAGGGATGAGGTTGGAGTATATTAGTGTCTGGATGCAAAAGCTGTGTGTTTGCGGCATACCGGGGCGAGATTTTTGAGGAGCGTTTCCGTGAAGTTGGGACCGCCCCCTAAGCTGGGAAGTTGAAAGACTCAGAAATACTTCTAAATCCCACGGTCTCCGCGACGGTGAAGGTTCCTGGGTCCGGCGTGATCTTCTTGAATCCGATGGATTTGCCTTGCGCTTCAATCAAGTTGATATCCAAAACAGGGCCCCTCCGGCCGTCAAGGGATGTGGGTTGCGAAGATTACAGGATTGTTGGGGCATGTTGCCTAATGACACTGTCCGGTGAGCTGTGCGGAAGGACCCTCCTGGAGACGTGCCAGTGCCTCCTGGGCTTGCCAGTTGGCTGCGCCCTCTGCGAACGAATCGGAGCTCGATTGGTGTTGTGGTGACATCTAGCTGCTACTACCTTCGCTCACTTTGTCTGGAGGCGGAGCGGAACAGACCCAAGCGGCCAAGGAGTGGTGGCTCGGCAGCTCTTGGCAAAGTGTGGCAAAGCCAATAAAGCACCAAACGCCTTCCTAGGTCCTACCGGGACACGTCAGATCTTTGATTTCGATGCCTGGCGCCGAGGCCGGGCTATGGTGGGCCCTGCGCTGCTCTCCGGCGCTACCGGGCCGAGGCTCACGGGGCCTGGACAGGGAAGGGTGTGTAGCGCCCAGAAAGCTGCTCAAGGGCATTGCCAGTCAAAAGCAAAATTCAGTAAACAGTATATAGTATACATGTCTCGAGGCTGAAACGTACCGGAGTCTGACCTGTGTGCAGGCGTGTTGCGGCTGCGCTTCCGAGAGTGCGGGCGCCCGGCTCTGTCTGCAAACGGGCAAGGCCCTGTCGTGCAGCTCTCCGTGGTGCTGAGACAGGATCCCGGCATTGCATTTTCCCACAATCTTCAGCAGTTTCGAGGCATGGACCCGCGCCGCACTGGAAGGCCTGGCACCCCAATCCAGATGCATCATGGGCCGGGCTTTGATCCATGGCAACGTGGCGAGAAGCCACATCTGCACGCCAGAGCAAGGCGTTTCCTTTCAGCGATGCCAGGCAGGATCAGAATTGGACTTTGCCTTGAAGAAGAAGGGTTCTGGGCTCAAAGAGCAGTGCGAGGGCCGCATGTCGATGCCTCGAAAACTTCGCCGTGACGGCGACAACCCAACGGAGGCCTGGGTGGCCTCGGCACGGAGGGCTACCTCGCCCGCATGGCGATGATGGTCGCAGTGCCTCGCCGGCTTATCAACTAGGACCTAGGACCTTTGGTGACTGAAAGCCCTGCAACCTGCAACTCTGACCATTCTCTGTCGTGCCTACACATCGAAGCCAAGGAAACCTTTCTTCTCTTGCACGCGGCCCAGCTTCGTGCAGGAAGACGTTTGTCGCACATGCTGCGCCCAAGTTGAGTCGGCTGAGATCGGCTGAGTGCATGATTCTTGGAAATACTTGGTTCACTCAGCAGATGGATGAAGTGAATTAAATGAATTAG